GAATAGGTGGTTCCTGCTCCAGGAAACTCAATCCTGAGTCCAGAATGAGCTCTCATCCAACTGGCCTAGGTGGTGGGCCTTGGCAGTGGAAGCATTAACGGCTGATTTGAGGAAGGGTAGTTCTTTTCCCAAAACCTCCAGTCCATCAAGATTGGAGTCAGGTGGACAGGACCTGAATCCCAGCACTGCACAAACTCACTGGGTGATGGTGGGCAAGTCCCTTCTCCTCTCAGACCTCAGTGATGTCAGCTGTACAGTGGGTGAGCAGGGGAGTGTTGTGGATGAGGTGGGCTCCTCACCAGGCTCCCTGTGTCCACTCTCTCCCCCTGGCCCAGAACTGAATGCACTACAGGAAGAGCTTGCACCATTTGGTTTGGTCATTCTGGGCTTCCCCTGCAACCAATTTGGAAAACAAGAACCAGGAGAGAACTCGGAGATCCTACCTACCCTCAGGTGAGTGCTCACTCAGTGTCCTGAGCAAGCTCCTCCAGCTCAGCCTGTCTTGGGTCTACCCCTGTTCATGATGGACCTTTATCTGCCATCAAGAACCATTCTTCCCTTCTACAAATAAGGGAGGGGACAGGAGAGGGAGAAGGACAGGGATGACTGGTTGTACATGACAGAGAGGACAGGGAGTACTGAGATGGGGGTGGGGAGGTGCTGAGAATGGTCTAAGCTAGGAAAGACCACAGACCCACGTTATGCCTCTGCCTGCTCAACACCTGCTCCCACTGCCCATTATGGAATAAATCCAGACTCCCAACAACCCTTCCCTGTTCCATCCCTTCCTCTCATTTCTGAGCCCTGTGCCTATCTCCTTGGGACCCACACAAGAACATTCCTTAACAGGTATGTCCGACCAGGCGGGGGCTTCATCCCCAATTTCCAGCTCTTTGAGAAAGGGGATGTGAACGGGGAGAAAGAGCAGAAGTTCTACACTTTCCTGAAGGTGAGTGAACAGCCACCTGTGCTGGACAGAGACAAGGCTCATGTCACCTCCCCGCTCCTGGGTTCCTGGGAATTTCTTGGCATCTGACTATTGTCCCAACTAGAGGGCTTTGCAGACGCTAGGATCTCATCAGCGCATTTTACGGATAAGGCCCAGATAGGGTCCCAGAAGGGACATGTCAAGGGTCTCACAATCTTCTAGAGCCATAGCTGGGACTGGCAGTCAGTCTTCTGACTCCCAAACTGGTGCTTTTTTTTTTTTTTTCTCAGTGCCAGGCTGTTCTCCCACCCCTAGAAAGGCCTGGGGAGGAGGTGGGAGGGAGGGGCCCTAAGCAGGGTTGACG